GAACAGGAACAGAACTGCCCAAGAGGACAGCAAAGCAGCATCAAGTGGGGAGAAACAGGGATGGCAGTCGACCAGAGGGGCACTTAAAGAGGAAGATCGCCAAAAAATTTACACTCCAATGGGCAAAGCAGGGAGGGCGAAGAAGACGCCCAATCAAGAGGGAGAAGAAAAGGGAAGGGAGACAGTGATCAGCGACAATGAGAACATGGGATAATGTCCGCCGGTTTTCCTCATCCCCGCTTCATCCCGCAGACTAAAACACTGAGTTAAGATACTAAGCAAGTAATCAAAAATATACTGAGGGAAGCAGAATATACCACAATTTCCAACGTACTGAACTCAAAACTATAACGCTTTGCACCCAGTTGTCCCAAGGGAACCAAAAAAGCCTGACAACTGTTTATAGTAGGTCCAATCTTTTTACAGCGGTGGCACCGCATCAGTCATGGCTCGTAACCAACGTGGCGGTCATTGGCTAGCGCACAGATCAGTTCGGAGACCACCGTCGCCGGGCCGGGCCGGGCCGGGCTGACCTCTTGACACGGCCCCGCTCGGGCTCCGGCCGCCAGTCGGTGACCTCGAGCTCCGAGAGCACGGTGGTGAGCAGGTAAGCGCCGCCGCCGGCCCAGCGCACGTCCCGCGCCACCAGCCGGGAGCCGGGCACCAGGCCGAGCAGGCGGAGTCGGCGGCCCGGCTCCGTCACGTACAGGGTGACCTCGTGACCCGAGACGGCGTGCCCCAGCCGCAGCACCACGCGGTGTGAGTCTGCCGACAGCAAGCGGACGCCGGTCACAGCGGGCAGGATCGGGCCACAAGGGGAGCGGGCTCGCTCAGTCAGGGGCCTCAAGTCAGTCAGCGATGACAGAGATCTGGCGGAGGGGCTGCGGGTGGACAGGACGCAACACCAGTGGTCAGTCATGCTGGCGTCGGTGAGTACGGAGCTGGGGGACGAACACGCCACGGATACACACTTTTAGCGGAGTCAAGCGCCTGTATGGTTATCACAACGCCGACAACTAACGGCAGATCGGAACGTCCGGCGGCACGGTCGTGGCTGCCGGCCGCGGCCACTGACCCAGGCTGACGGGGCGGCAGGCGTCTCGTGAGGCGAACTTGTCGCGTGCGTGGAAGCGCTCCAGCAACACGCCCCGCACTGTCAGCAGCTGCTCATCGGACGACGACTCCGGGCGTAGCTCACTGACGCTGCCACCGGGGGAGGACGGCGTCAGAGTACAGACAGCGCGGCTATCAGCTGGGTACAGCTCACTGACGGCCTCTGGTGCGGCACCACCCGTCTGACTAGTGTGTGACCTATGGTGCGGTGCCACGCGTCTGACCACAGTACGGCCTCTGGCGTGGTGCCACACGTCTGACTAGAGCAAGGCCTCTGGTGCAGTGCCACACGTCTGACCAGTGTGCGGCCTCTGGTGCGGTGCCACACGTCTGACTAGTGTGTGACCTCTGGTGCGGCGCCGCACGTATGACCACAGTACGGCCTCTGGTGCGGTGCCACACGTCTGACCAGAGCAAGGCCTCTCGTGCGGTGCCACACGTCTGACCACAGTACGGCCTCTGGTGCGGTGCCACACGTCTGACCAGCCTGCGGCCTTTGGTGCGGTGACACACGTCTGACCAGCGTGTGACCTCTGGTGCGGCGCCACACGTCTGACCAGTGTGCGGCCTCTGGTGCGGCGCCACACGTCTGACCAGTGTGCGGCCTCTGGTGCGGCGCCACACGTCTGACCAGTGTGCGGCCTCTGGTGCGGTGCCACACGTCTGACCAGTGCGCGGCGCCACCACACACCAATAAGTGCCATGTCACCCGATACAGACGATTAACTGGCAACTGGCCAAGAGCGTCCGGCTGGTGAGAGGCAATGTGTGATACTTCATGGCACATTAACAAATGGAAATCTCCCAAGCCAAATCTGCGACGACTGCTGATGGCCTAAGTCTGCCTAATTCTCCCTAAAATAAGGGAGGAGGGGGCAGCGCTCCATAATATATCAAACAGGGCGTCCAGGATGTAAGTATAAGTTAATGCTACCAGAACCCTGGCTTTCCGGCGGTCTGCGCACGAAATAGTAACGTTGGCGCTAATCCATTGCCTTTTGACCCCGAGCCCGGACAGCTGACCCGCCTGGACCACTCGTCAAGCCTGAAGCGCTTCTACACTCGGTGGCCGCAGCCTGGCTCAACACTGACCGGACAATTTTGCGCGAAAGGAGAGGCAAGAGGCAACGAACCCCAAACCGAGGTGCATACAAAATGTCAGCATCCCTGCCACCCAAGTGGCCACAAGATTTAAACACTGGGAGAGGGGTGGGGTCGGGTTTTCCGCACTAGCTGGACACATCAACACTGATATTACAGTCAGCGCTGCCACCCATTCAGTAACATCTGACACCAGAGCTTTAATACATGGACCACTACCACCAGTGCTACCAGAGTAAAGCCAGCCCACACCCACCAGGGGCAATGCCTGGTAACGCCGGTATTGACCAGAGCCTCGCTGTTATAGTACTCATAGTCAGTCAGCAGCTGACTGTGAGTACTGTGGCAGTAATTACTGTCTGAACACAGCCTCCGTTAGCGACCACAGCAAACATAAGAGCCACGACACCTGATGTCCAGAGGTGGCGGCTCCTAAGCAACAGATGCGTAGCACCCGCGTACCAAGGCTCCGACATGACATACACACAGGCATACAGGCTCCACATCCGCCCACCAGACATGCGGTAACTGGGTACCAAGGCAGGGACACCCGACCACCAGACATACGGTAACTGGGTACCAAGGCAGGGACACCCGACTACCAGACATGCGGTAACTGGGTACCAAGGCAGGGACACCCGACCACCAGACATGCGGTAACTGGGTACCACGGCAGGGACACCCGACCACCAGACATGCGGTAACTGGGTACCAAGGCAGGGACACCCGACCACCAGACATGCGGTAAGTGGGTACCAGGGCAGGGACACCCGACCACCAGGCATGCAGTAACTGGGTACCAAGGCAGGGACACCCACCCACCAGACATGCGGTGACTGGGTACCAAGGCAGGGACACCCGACCACCACGAGGAGGTTGTCCCTGAGGAGGCCGTACGGGAGGCCGTACCTGAACACGGCCGTGTCGTCCGGCGGCACGGTCTCCAGCGGGTCGGAGCCAGGCACGAACTGCAGGTCGTCCGGAGCGCGCAGTGCGGTACAGTGCAGCAGGCAGGCGCGCACCGAGCGCAGCTGCCGATCCGGGTGCCTGCAGACGAACGCCGCTTTCACGCTCCGATTCGGGTAGGCACCCTTGGCATAGCTGCTATCGTTGATAAATACAAGCATGCCTTACTTCAAAAGTAAATGCGTTTTTTCATAAATTTTGTCACGTCTCAGCCCTAAAATTGCATGTGATGGGACGCATGTGACGCAGATGCCCAGCATCAACCACCTTTAAAACATTCTGCTGAAATCCCATGGTGGTATGGTAATTAGCGACATTAGGCCACAGACACAACCACAAGATCGCCTCCGGATACAGCAAATGACTAATCACGCCAGGCCATCAGCCCCGGCGAGTACCGCGGCCGCCAGCCGCCGCCGTCGTCCCCGCTGACTCACAGCCGGGTGGTCCAGTGCAGGTCGGCCGAGAGTAGGGCGTACGTCCGTCCGCGGCGGAGGCGGGCTGCGCGGCGAGCCGGCTCTCCGACCAGCGACACCAGCACCGGCCGCCGCCCAGCCGGCTCAGCGAGCAGACCGCGCACGCAGCGCCAGCAGCCGCCGGCCGGCGCGCGCCGCGGCCAGCCCACGCTGTCGACCAGCAGCAGCGGCGCGCCGGCCGGCGCCGGCGGTGGCGGCGGCGCGCGCTCCGCCGGCGCTGCCTTCTCCAGCGGCGCCACGTCCCCCGCGCACGCCATCACGTACACGAGCGGCGGCGCGGCCGGCAGCCGCTCCACCACCAGCAGCGGGCGGCGCAGGCAGACGAGCTGGCCGCCGTCCGGCAGCGACGCCGCCGCGGGGGCGTCCAGCAGCAGCAGCGGGGCCGTGGCGCCGCCGCGACCCGTCAGCTGTGGCAGGCCGGCCGCGTCCCGACCCAGCGCCGCCACCAGCGGCCGCGCCCCCGCCTCGCGCACGCTGTGCTGCCACCTGTCGTCCGACTCGAGGGCGACGGCAGCGGCGGTCGACAGCAGGTCGGGCAGGAACTCCAGCTCCAGCCGAAACTGTGACGCAGCGTGTCCGGCGGACATGTCAAGAGCGCAGGGGCCTCATGGGGGGGGGGAGGGGGGAGGGGGGGGGGGGGCGGACGACTGTGTCGACTTCCAATGTGCATGAGATGGTGGTGAAGATATGTAGTTGTGCAACACATAGATAAGTTCAAACTAAGTTTGCAGATTAGCTTCAATGACAGTCGTTATCGAACATGGTACTTTTGCGCAAGGGGACAGCAATATAATTATTTCAGGGGAAGGCATGGACTGAGTGCATTTAAATATTTTGACTAGTGAAATGCAATGCATGTACCATTACACCTGGCCAGCACTGTCACTTCGATGCAACACCAAATTTGGGCTCGGACTTAAATGAGGCAGTGTCGTCTAACGCCCAGGGCTCTAACGCGACACTGGTGGGACGGACGAGGCTAACCTCAGCAGAGCCGATGCAGCGGTGAGGCGAGCAGACAAACTCCTTGGTCATGGAGCGTTCCGCCACCGGGTACTCCAGCAGACGCAGCAGCCGGTGAAGCACGCCCTTCTCCCCTCCGACGCGCACCCTGCCGCAAGACACCCACCACCGTCACCGGGTACTCCAGCAGACAGCAGCCGGTGAAGCACGCCCTTCTCCCCTCCGACGCGCACCCTGCCGCGAGACACCCACCGCCGTCACCGGGTACTCCAGCAGACAGCAGCCGGTGCAGAACGGCCACACCCCGCTCCCCTCCAACGCAGAGCTTGGCGCGGGACACCCCTGCCTTTTCGGGGCTGGGCGTCGCCGCCGCCGCCTGACTCACGTTCTGTGCGGGACGGCGTCGGCCAGCTCGCGCTCGGTGCGCCGGTACCAGTCGAGAGCGGCCGGCGGCAGCGCCAGCCGGTGCAGCAGGTGCAGTGCCGAGTCCTGGTCGCACGCCGCCGCCGACGCCTGCCTGCAGACGCGTGGCCGCCGGTGAGGCCGCCGCCCGCCGCCCGGCGCCCCAGCTCGTGCCAGTGGGCGACGGGCGGGTGCGTGTGGCGGCGTACAGGTGAGGGCACACGCATCCAACACATCGGCACCCATGCGCACTGGTCTGAAGCATTGACGCGAAGGGGCATAACAGGGACACAAGCACACACAATGGCACAAGATCAGCAGCGCAGAACGGTGTGACGGAGTGCGGGCAGGCACACCGAGGACCGCACGGCGGCGGACATAAGCTCAGGGACACGAGAAAGGCACCCATGCAGATCCACCCCTAAGCACTGCCAAAAACATCAGTGCAAATCACGGTCAGGTAAGCACGAACGTGCGACTGGCGCCCAGACACGCCAATCGGAAGACGCACCAGTGCTGACAATCTTTGAAAGCCGAGCGTAGCATGGCGTCGCCTACGCCCCGGACATAGCCCGGCTGCGTGCGGGCGTCGGCCGGTCCACGCACCTGTTCAGCAGGTCGACCCTGGTGCGGCCGCAGGCGGTGAGCCGGCGCGCGGCCGGCGCCCAGTGGGCGTCATGCACGACCACCTGGTCGCCGAGCCGCAGCTGGGGGCAGCTGGTGACGCCGGCGATGGCGGCCAGCGCCAGCTCCACGCTCTCGTCCAGCCCGAACAGCTGCAGCACCGCGTCCACCGACGTCACCAAGCCCTACCGCGGGGTAAACGGTCAGATTCTGGAGTCGGTCCAGGGTCAGGGATCACATGTGGTCAGTAGTGTAGTATCGTCCACTCTCACAGCCCGACCAAACACTAAGTCAGGTGTTACCATGAGTATTTGCCCCAATACTTAAGCAATAACAACAAAAGCAATAACACAACGTCCGAGGCGTCCGAACACGTCGCGCCCCCGCCACGGGCCACCTCGTCAAGGCCAACTCTCTCGCGCAAATGCCACTTGCCTGGCGCGTAGGCGCCCTAAACAACTGCCATACACCGCATTCCTCCTCCTCTTGAAAGAGCGTTGCCCCTCACATAATTTCAATTAACCTCCCACGCGGTTTCCTCCTCCGGTTACTCCGACGCCGCTGGACTCCCCGCGTACATCTGCGCCCTCTGGCCGCTGACCACCAGCGCCACCTGACGTTCGATCGCCGCCAGCACTCGGACCAGACGGCCCGCCCGCGGCCGCAGCTGTCGTCGCTGGCTGGTGCGCTGAAGGCGTCTCCTCGGACGGGTCCGCCTCCGACGTCCCCTCGGACTGCTCCGCCTCGGATGCCGGTCAATCAGCGTCCAGGTCCACCGAGCCGTCCGACTCGGGTGCTGACGTAGCCGGCCTGGCGTAGTCTGCCGCCGCCGGTCGCGGCCGCAGCGGTGCAGCCGCGCCCGGCTCCTCACGTTGTGGGCGATCTGCCGGCGCCGCCGTCAGCCGTTCACCGTACACCCGAGTGCTGTCTTCCAGGCGGTAGCTCACCGGTCCCAGGCGGGTCTCGATCCGAAGTGGCTCAGAGAAGCGTGGACGCCCCTTACGAGGCCGGGGCATTCGCCGGACCCTCACCTGGTCCCCTACGTCGAATGGCGGCGTGCGCGCCCCGCGCCGTCCGTCGGCGTAAGCCTTTTGATAGGCCTAGCGGTTCTGCACCCGCCTCCGCACTTCTGACTCCGACACGGCCTGCTTTTCCGTTTTCAGAGCTGCGGCGTGCAGCTTTGTTCGCAGCTGCCGACCGTGCAGCAGCTCGGACGGACTGACTCCGGTCGTTGCATGCGGCGTGCTGCGGTATTGTTGCAAACACTTTTGCACATACCGCGCTCTTCCCTCGCCGCTCTTGTCCGCCGCCTGGAGTGCCGCCTTCACCGTCCGATTGGCCCGCTCCACCGCCCCTGACAAGGCCGGGTGATAGGGCGTGACGTGGATGTGGTGCGTGCCCCCGCTCCGCAGGTAGGCTTCGAACCCTTCTGAGCTGAAATGGCTCCCGTTATCCGATACGAGCTCTCTCGGGTAGCCCTCCCGTGAGGCCAGTGTCTCCACAAATTGGACCGCTGCCTCCGTGCTGGGCTCGGCACAGAAGCCCACCTCGATCCACTTCGAATAGTAGTCGATGAGCACGACAGCGAACCGCTGCCGTCTCGGCGCCTCCATGGGTCCGATAAAGTCCAGCCCTACTTTATCCCATCCTCGTCGCCAAATGTAGTATCGTTCACTCTCACAGCCCGACCAAACACTAAGTCAGGCGTTACCGTGAGTATTTGCCCAATACTTAAGCAATACCAACAAAAGCAATGATACAACGTCCGAGGCGTCCGAACACGTCGCGCCCCCGCCACGCCACGCGCGACCTCGTCAAGGCCAACTCTCTCGCGCAACTGCCACTTGCCTGGCGCGTAGGCGCCCTAAACAACTGCCATACACCACAAGTAGCCAGATGCTGGGGTCGGGTCAGGATCAGGAGTCAGGGATCAGGGGTCAGTGCTTAGACACCTGAGTCAGGTCAGGGGTCAGTGATCATGGGTCAGGGGTCAGTGATCATGGGTCAGGGGTCAATGATCATGGGTCAGGGTCAGCAATCAGATGTCAGGGTCAGGTCAAGACCAGAGGTCAGGGGTCAGTGATCAGGGGTCTGTAGCCAGATATCAGGGTCCAGTCAGGAATCAGATGTCAAGGTCAAGTCAGGGTCAGGGATAGGGGTTGGGGATCAGGACAGCTGGTGCATGTCATTGGGAGAAATGTATGAGATCTGCATTGGTACATCACCAGGTGCAGCACCAAACCCATTCTGGGTGTGCATGCAGTTTATCTGCACATGAAGTATGATGGTAATGGATCTGTTACTTTGATGTGGTCTGCTCCCAAACATTGGCATGCCCCAGCATGGCCAGTTGATGTATGGGGGAAGTGATTCATTATGTCATCTGCACATGATTTATTTTTAACACATGATGTACACAGGCATGAGTAAATCACAAACATGACATGTGTTAGTCTCTAAATGATGATTGCTGACTCAAGAGCACCACTGATTGCTTAGCCAGGAGGCATGCATGGTTGTCATGTGGACTTGGCAGCTGTAGTCAGCTCAGATTTAGCCCCTCAGTTCTCAGTCTAGCCACATATGGAGTACTAATTCACCTGCCTAATTATTGGCTAGCCCTTCAGTCAGCAATATTTTACAACTCAGGTTTTTTTATAAAGTTTGGCACAACATGCATGCATAACAACATAAGGCTCATCAGATAGGTCATAAGCATACCAAGATGCTTTTTTTAAGCACAATGAAAATAGCATATATTATAGCTGCAGAAAGTATGACTACTTACCTTGAATGAAATAAGATGATGGAGACTTGCATTTGAGGCTAATTTATAGTCATCATATTTTGTGGGGTTCACATTTGTTTTTGAAGTAGCTACCAGCACATCAACTTCATCTGGAGTGCTCTGAAAAATATCAAACTTGTGAATGGTAGTACCACAAAAAAATTGCTAAAGATGTTGAGAAGAGAGAAATTGCTAGATACATACTATTTATGCTGCATAAAACAACATCACTGGTACTATGATAATCACCTCTACTTGTGTCTTACTTGTATATAAGGTTACACATTCCAAGCCAGCAGTACAGGTACAAAAATAAACAAAACAACATTACTTTCATGTTCTACTACACAGCCCCACATTTCTAGATGCTGATTAACATCACACAGTTGTCAAGCAGGCATCCTAAGCATCTGCAATTTGATTCATGAAAATGTACAATACATGTCACATCACATACCTGATAAAGTTTTCCTGGCCTTAAGTTTGTAAAGCTATAGCACATCCCAACATTGAGAATACTTTGCCAGCCCAGCTGAGATGGTCTTCGAATAACAATCAGAGTAGACTCAGCAGCTGAAGAAACATCAATAAAGAACAGCTCCTGCTCATTCAGCCTGTAACAAACAGGACACACCACATGTGATCTGTCTCAGTGGGCATTTCAAAAGTTTCCAAACAAACATTCATTCATGATCAAAATGGTGTACAATATAACAGCACCAATCATTGTATGAGAAAATAATAATGACCAAAATGGCATAGAACACGATACAAAACTGATCCAGAATGTGACACAATAACACATTAGCTCAAAATGTAAGTTTAGACATCAAATGTCAAACTGCCAATACATACCTAAAAATGTGACTGAGTCCAGAAATGACACCAGACAACTCTGAAACTAACTCCTCGACAGGCATGACCTACACCCACCGACATTTAAGTCCGAAATTTGGCACGATTTCATCCCAACCCAGGCAGTAAATTGCATGGCAAAACCCCGCACACTGATAGCCGCTGTTTTGTTTTGGACATTTTCAAACGGTCCCGGCAGCGCCAGCACTGCCTTAAAAAGGTGCAACCAAATACTACAAATTTTAGTTACCGACCAATTACGGAGGTTTTCTCTACGCGCGATCAGGGCCCGGTTCGGAATGTCGTCAGAACGACTGTCAGCTGGAATGCATAACGTCACGCGTCCTGACGTTGTTGATGTGTGGGCTGACAGGAAAGTTTTTTAACTTTGCTTTCCCTTCTTCTTTTTCCTTTTACTTCAGTACACACTGAGACCGCATTCGACCTGTCGTCCGTGTGTTTGTCAGCACCAATCATGGCCCAGTATTCGCCATACGTCACGTCACGTGACCACAAAGCCACGTGGGCTGAAGAAGGGAAAGTAAAGTTTGAAAACTTTCCGGTTAGCCCACACATGAAACGCTCCGTCAGCACGTGTGACGCCACGCATTTCAGCTGACAATCGTGCTGACGGCAGATCGAACGGGGCCGGAATGCGTGTCGTCACGCGTGCTGACGGAGCGTGCCATTTGTGGGCTGAAGGAGAAGTTTTTAAATTGACTTTCCCTTCTTCTTTCACCTTCGACTTCAGTCCACACACTAACTCTGGGTTACTGCTGACCATAACACACTACGTACAAAGTGGTGTTTGGAAATGTGACTTCTGTTCCGGTATTACCATCGCCTATCCCATCCACATGTTCATGCTTCTTCTCATTTCCAGTTCTTCCAATGTTGTCCATTTCATTTTAAATGTTTACTTATAGCGCCATTAATTTACTGGGCAACGCAATCACGCACTATATCAGCCACTGTCACTTGCCTTTTCATGGCTGCTCCTGACATTTCAGTGCCCTCTCTTGGCCGCCTTTGATCTGCCGTCAGCACGTTTCCCAGCACAAATGACTGCCTAGTACTCGCCCTACGTCACGTCACGTGGACTCAAAAACATTTTACCGGTTTTGTAAAAATACCAAAACAGGCAGTATCACTGGGAACATTTGACAATAGCTCCGATCTGGCGCACCAATGACGTTTTATTCCAACGCTAGCTATCGAAACGTTCAAGATTGCAGCGTCCGGTGTTCCTATCGTCCAAGGTCGCAACATCCAGCGTTCATAACGTCCAGCATGCGTCCAACTTAGTGCCCATTGGGGGCGTTTATAAGGTCCAGACGCGCAACGTCCAGAGTCGCAAAGTCCAGAGTCGTAAAGTTCAGTGTTCGAAACTTCGAGCATCCCGACACCCAGGCTAGTTTGGATTCCTGCCGCTAGATGACACGGCAGAAGCATTTTTGACTCCTGCCGCTATTTCCCGCTTTTGTCAACAGATGGCGCAGTGAACCCGGCATTCCACGATGATCACGTGATGCGTACAGTGGAAGATGCTTGCCGTAGCTTACCTAGACGCCAGGCGGCCCTATCCGGCCTGGGCGGAGCCGCGCCCCGGGGCTCACCAGCAACTGTGCGCGTTCGCGCCGGGCGACGCCGCGGCTGTAGACGTAGCAGATGGCGCGGGCTCGGCGGGGCTCGCTGCACCTGCGGGGCAGGCGACCTCTCCCGCCCCGCCGCTGCTGCCGGGGTTGCTCGGTTGCTCTGGGGGTCTGCGTATTGGTATCAGGTTCTTTTCACTAGCTTGGAGGACTCCGTGCAGTTGCTGGGGCCCATGTAAGGTAACGCACTGAGGCACTAGATGCTCAGGCGCTCTTCAGTGATATGGCTCTGATATGCTCTGATATGGCTCTTATCCTTTTGGGCTTATTTACTAAGGACCCTTCGCTTCTCAGAACCCTCCCTGTTAACCTGCCTGGGCACTCTTGATCACACAGAGGGCGTTAATTCATGTACTCTGATCATCGGTTGTTCCCCTTTGCTCAAAGAATCCTGTGCTTCGGCCGGACTTCTGTGCTTGTTGGCCTGCCGGGGTACTCCCAATCATTCAGGGGTCCCACCATACTGGTGCTAGGTTCTCCTCGCTTGTTATGAGGACCCTTCATTGTTCACGGGAGCCTCTTTGTTGGCCTGCCATGGCAGTTTAGATCGCTCATGTGCCGTTATTGGTCTCGGGTTTTCCCACATTATAGGAGGACTTACGCCGTTGACGAGGACCTAAATCTCAATAGTTTTGATTGGGGCTTTACGTCTTAGCAACTGATGACTAAATTTGTGGCTATGCCGATTACGCCGATTAATTTATTCTCGTAATTGCCGAGCATAATTTTGTACGCCGCAGACGTCGCGCATATCACTTCCTTTGTTCATGGAATTTTTTAGTTATTTTACTTATACGTTACGTTTTTAATACATTTTGAAGGAGTGGATATTCTTTATTCCCTTATAACAAACAACACCAAAACTCTGTATTAATACCCAGCCATCAGGTGATCTAAACTGCCCAGCTAACCGTATATAAGCCAGGAATCAAGCTTGTGCTTGATTTTAATGGCATTCAGCATGATTTAAGTGCATGTTGCTATGTCTTCTCCGAAATACTTAGCCCTAAAATAACAGGATCCACCATGACCTGGCGAAAATGAACAAGCTCCGTGTATTTGCACACGTAACACGCCTAGTTTTCTAGGGCCGCGCACAGCAAGTTAGGTTCCGGCATACAAACCGCATGCATAAAAATATTGGGACTTAATGGCCGAAATACGAGGATTTTGGTGGATGGTACCTTGAACTCCAGCGAGCTAACAAAGGAAGAGGCCTTCTCCAGTTAAACAAAAAAATCATTTTTTGCAGCGTATATGTGTGGAGATTTTCAGATATGGCGTCTTGTTAGTTCTAGCCGGTGCTTTTGCCCGAATCGTACTGAGCGTTTGATAATGATGTTGACACAACAAATATATATATATATATATATATATATATATATATATATCTCTCTCTCTCTCTCTCTCTCTCTCTCCTCTCTCTCCCTCTCTCTCTCTCTCTCTCTCTCTCTCTCTCTCTCTCTCTGCGCATATGTATATGTATATGTATATATATATATATATATATATATATATATATATATACACATATAAGATAATAACAGACACACGAAGCTCGCAGAACCTGGACGGTATATAACTGGTGACTGACTCTTCTATATATTTGGCTCTTCATTTCATTTCGGCGCCTTAAACACTTCAAATCAAAGCATAAAACACGAGCATGCATACCAACAATAAACTTTTCACTGGACAGTATTCACTGCCATTTGGGCTTGGCAACAAAAAAACAATTCTTTAACCGCGCAGAACACATCATTGGCACCACACACTGTGAACAACACAATGAACACAGCAAATCACAACACTGTCTGCCAATCACCCAATAGCTGCGCCACTCATCAATGTCTTGTTCCTTGTCTGAGTGATTTATTTGTGGTGCTGCCTCAAAGAGATAATTCAGTAGTTTATTTCCTTTTGTTTGCTTAGAAGTCGTTTGTGGTCATGAATAAGCAATGCATCCAATAGGTTGAGTTTTCTTGTTTTGTGTGTAGATGATAGAATCCCAGTGTTTTATGTAAGCGCTTGACGCGTGGGGAGAGTATTGTGGTCGGACTGTACGCGATTCATTGGTGCCCCCCCCCCCCCCTCCGTGATGTGCTCTGTGAGACGTCGGAACAAAAATGTTGTAGTTGCACTTTTGTAGGATACGTAGCTTTGCAGCAACACCCGGCAGCGGTCAACAGACGGGTAGAAATGATCAGCGCACCAGAAATCCGTACGTTCCAACGCTTCGTGAAATCAATTGGTCGGATGTTTCACTAGTGCAATTTTTAGATTGGTAGTCAGGACGGATAATGGGAAGGCGCGATGGGAAGGCGCAATGGCGTAATTTTCTCCTGTTCGTAATGTTACAACTGCTACTTCCGTTCAGAGACTCGTCTGGTCAGCCGACTGAATTGCATTGGTAACACGTTCTGGTCAGCAGCTGAAGGGTATTCCGTCCCATCCTAGAATCCCCTGCGGCTTTTAGTCGGGTGATAGCCCCCAAAACTGGACGGAGACCCTCAGTAAAATGCATCACAACCGGTCCCCTCCTCGATGTGGCTGGCCCTCTAACTGAGAAATCCAGCAACGGAGCGGCACAGAGGCCCTCGCTGATGCAAAAACAGACTCTTTACTGGCACAAGAAGTCCAATCATTGGTATCGAGACACTAATTCGCCTCATCGGTCCTTGGTTGGAATGGTCCAGCGCATCCCTCGTCCGGCTCTGGTGTCAATAGCTGCCACAGGCCTCTCCGTTGTCTCATTGTACATGAGAACCCTTTTGTCACTGCTGATGAATCCTGTTGTTGTCAGGAGGGGCCAGACCAGCACAATAGGCCCTTTGCCATACGGGGTTCCATCATCGTTCTTATTCAGCAAATGTGCTGCCCGACCTGAGGCTCACTGCCGACACATAGTCCTCTCCTGAAGACTGTGGTCGCTGACCAGGAATGTGGATCCTTCATTTTCTCATGTGTCCCGACGAATGTAGGGTGCCTTCTGATTGAAGTCCCGGAATGGTACGGAACGGACTGTTCGATATTGCTGTTCTCAGTCGGCTGCCTCAAATAGACACTGTCGCACGGGGCTTCCGATCAGTGTTAAAGTTTCTCTTACAATTTAGGGTCCGGTCTTCGGGTTGTGATCCCTCCATACAACCTCTGGCCTGCCCTTCGGACCCTTTAATCGGACTCTTGATCTTCGGCCCCAAGGGACCAAAAAAAGGCTCTCGCGACCCATGGGAGCCTCGAAACATAAGGGGTAGGGCGGAGGGAGTCGTGCTTAATTCGGTTCCCCGTGAAAATAAAGCTTTATGGACCATTTTAAGTACCCCTGGAATTTTGCATCGCCTTAAAATAAATGTTTGGGCTGATTATGGTGTTCCAATTTAAACTGGGTGCGCATAGAAAGAAGTGTTACGATGCCCCGCAATCAAAGTTCTTGATGCCTTTTCACCAAAGAAGCCGAACCAGGATTTCGTCACAGTGTAAGTTAAAGCACTTGTGGTGCCCCT